TACTATATTTTATCTAGCCAGTGTTTTTCATATATATTTAACCATAGTTTGTGTATTTTGTTTTGTTTTTTGCCACAACACATCTATGCAGAATATTCTTTGGGAAATGTTGAATGACACTGGTGATTGAGTCTGCCAGGCTATCTGGGACCTAAGCCTGCTCCAATCTAGTACCTGGACAATTCTGGTCTGTCTTGTTATTGACAGCTAAGGAAACGTTATCACGGGATGCAACTTCTGAGAATGCTATAGCTGTATTTACCTGTTCTCGGAGACTGCAATACTGAACTCTTAGAAGGAACATTCTATATCCCTGTCATAAAGAGTGCTTAGCAACCACCTAGTTCAGGTGACAGGGAGAGCAGGGACTGCAGAGTCTTCGGTTCTGTCTTGTGCAGGTTAACTGGTCTGCAGGAGCTGAGGAGGAAAATCCAGCGGCACAGTTAAGACTGTAGCCATGGCATCTGTATCGTACCGGGAGCCAACATCTGCCACTGTGGGCAAACGGATGATTGTTACAGGTAAACGAAGAGTTTCGTGTGTGCTTTCACAAGGAGACCTAAACTTCCTTTATCCTTCCCCTATATGACACTTACATAATGGATATAACAGTGAAATAACCCATGTTTATTTTCCATGGTACTGCTATCTCATTATGCCCACTCAGCCATGGCACCTTGTTGCCATAAACACATCTTTAACACAGCCGTTGTCACTGTGTCTGAGCTATCTTTCACAAAGGAACATTTTTATTAGCATAACATTTACAGTTTGTGTAAGAGAAACTGCTCTGATGTTAATAAAAAAATGTCCTTTTAATAAAACTTTCATTACTACTGATTTATGCTTCTCATATCTTTATAAACTCGAAATACTTGCATGATAATTATTTTTTTAAATTTCAGAGTATTACGGGGGTACAAATGCTTTGTTTACATAAACTGCCTTTGCACCACCCAACAATCATGCCCATACCCCAGACAGCGCGCACCGCTTCCATTAGATCCACCCATCCCCACCTCCCCCCTCCCACCTGCCCAACACCCTATGAACGTTACTACCCATATGTACACATTAGTGTTAATCAATTAGTAACAATTTAATGGTGAGTACATGTGGTGTTTGTTTTTCCATTCTTGTGATACTTCTCTTGGAAGAACGGGCTCCAGCTCCATCCAGGATAATATAATAGGTAGTTCATCATTTTTTTTATGGCCGAGTATACCATGGTATACATAAAAATTTGAACAAAATGTGCGTTAAACCTAGCAAAGTTGTTGGTTCGTGTTTTGTTCCTTCAACTTATTTTAAATACTTTGGGCAGTACGTGTGTGTGGAATCATAAAATCTAAAATATGGAATATGAGTAATTAGAATAAGTCTATAAGGCATAAACTAAATTTCTTCTTATTTCCTTTATGTTTTCAAATCAGGAGCATATTTTACAATGTTACAGAAAAAATAATCAAATGTGTATTTACAGTGGACATTTGTGATTTATGTTCCTAATCATCTATTTCTTCCACTCCCCTTCTTGTGACTCTCTTGGCTTCAGGAAATCCACCCTTTCCCCACTCTTACCCCTTTTTTACTTCTGTGGGAAAAAGCTTTATCAACTAGAGTGCAGTGCTAACTTGCAATTCCTTTTGTCTTTAACACATTAACTGCCATGTGAGTTGTATTTAACTCACGCTAGTTTTGAGCCCGGGGCCTTGTGAAGCAAAACCCTGCAGTTGGTTTACGAAAATCTTACTTCTT